GCAGCTTGCAAGCGCCACTTTGGGCGAAGGAAGCGGCAGACGTGCCTGCAGGGGCTGTTGGGTGAGGATTCGGGATCACGGGGTAGTGGCAGCACTCAAGTGAGGATCGCGTGCTATGGTCCTCATGAGACTGGAAGGAAACGATATGAAGCGGAGAAAGACATAGCATGTGAGCGATTTTCCCAAGCCTACAGGCGGTGTGTTGCTACAAGGCAAGCTCAAAAGAGTTGTTGATGCATTTTTTGAAGTTACCAGGTAAGCAATCTCTTTGGTCTTCATGATGACTGTTGGCTATTGTCTTTTTTCGGCTCGAAAAGGTCCCTTCTCGGCTCGAAAACGCACCAAGATCGCCACGGAGGGGTCTCGGCCTTGAACTCCTAGCCCCATGAGAAGGGGTAGAAGAACGAAGAAGCACAATAAGAGGAACCAGCAGAAGAAGCAGAGGAGAAGTAAGAAGATGTGGGCGCACACTGGCAAGGCCTTAGAGCCTCAAATCCCGGAGCAAGCCAAATGCTGAAAGCGGCAGACAAAGAGGGTCTCTCTGGTCAACAGAAGCAGAGGAGAGGGAGAGCAGAGCAGGTTGATCTGGACGTGAAGTCGAGCGAAAGACTCGATCAGGTGAAGAATCACAAGGTTCAGAATGGTCATAAGCTTCATGCACAGAATAATACTATTGACAAGTTATTGAGATTAAGTCGATGCAGAAGACGATAGAGAGCTAGAGACTAGGTTGGAAACAGTGACATTTCATAGTTTAGCTTTCGTTGCGGGAGAAGGCGGGGTGCAGGGTCCAACAAGTGCAAGGGAAGTAGGTGGCCCATAAACCTAAACCACGGGGGGACGGGTTTCAGCTGAGAAGGGGGGGGGGGGGGGTTTGGCATCATGTTCCCAAACCAACATTATCGAGTTTCCAGCCGAATAGAGGGGTGGGTTGGAAATCATGATTTTGGTATGCCTGCGGCAGGGAACAGCGGTTCCCAACCCCCCTTTTTCTCAAGGCAGGCTTGGATACCGAGAACCATGTCGGATGATCCCCAAAAGTTGAGCACGCAGCACGGGCCCTTGAGCTCTATCAAATATTCAACAAGTTTGTAGACTTCTTGGCCGTTCATTTCATTCACTGTCTCGTTCACAGTTCTTACCGTCATGCGTGGGCAACATTATCTTCGTTTCGCTCGCGCATTACACCTTCACAAAGCCAGTAAACCATGCGATGTGCGGTGATTGCTCACCCCCTGCCCTCAGTGATGCTGGGGGCTACGACCTCTTGCCTGAGGTGCCAGCAAAATGATGAGCAGTAGAAGAGTTGCTGTATTTATCTTTCAGTGGGCTACACCTCCAAATTAACACAGAGGATTTTGAGCCCTTCACATTAAACAGAAGTACCGGCATGCAAATTGCGCGCAAGCAGTATTAAACTGGACACAAGACTATTCATGTTGGTGGTTGACAGCTACCCAAAAAACGAAGTGAATACTATGTAGTTCTTTTTGTAGGCCCTTTCAACCGCACCAAAAGCTCATAAGAACGGAATCTTACTGCGCACAGAAACCCGATAAACTAGTGCATTTCCACGGGCTCGCGAAAACGTGTCTAATGCCTGTGCACCAAGTGCGCGACCCCAGTGAATCAAAAACACCAAATGCACCAGCATTAGTATTATTCTTGGTGCACGGAGAGAAAATGGATGTGCCAGCAGCCTTTTTGAAGGAAGAACCCGACAAAATCCCCAAAGGACGCGTGCTGACATCCTATTCACACGGGCCGTTAGAAGTCTTCTCACGCCTACAGAAGTACATAAATATGAATACAAGTTTTTAAGCACCAAGAGAGACAAAAAACACCTTCTCCGTTATCTTGATTTCTTCTGCTTTTCCTTATTAGCTCATTCTTTATGCAATTATACCTGTAAGTATGTATTTCATTTGGCTATGTCGTCATGTAACTCGTCTGCGTTTTCTTGTCCCTTTGTTATTACTTTTGTTTCGACTTATTTTCTTTGTGATCTTTCAAGAGCCTTACAGTCTTTGAGGGGTAAGCCCGGTGTTGGGAAAGATGTGATGACCACCGCCTGCGAGGCCGCGAGATGGGTTAGGTCCTGCAACTCTGCAGGCTCTTACAGCGATGACATGTGGAAAGCTTCAAAGCGGCTCGATGGCTTGAGGGTCCTCGTTCCGAACTGGCAATGACAGGTCTCTCCTTTCAAGAACGACAGAGTCAAGTTGGAGTCAGCAGCAGCTGTGAAAGCCGACATATGCCGACATGCCGTCCTATCCAGACACGCCGAGCTTGCACTGCCATGGGACTGCAGAAGACTCAACATCAGCAGACGTCATGAAAGGCAAACGCATCAAAGGGCACCGGGTCGCAAGGTCACTAGTCGCCAGGGCCTGGCAGGTAGTCTGCCCCTTTGCCACCTTCGCCAGCCAGTCGATACGCCGGCGCCTCCACGGATCGTCACAGATCATGCCCAACGGTTGCGTGCAGCTCCAGAGCCTGGTCGGTGGCCTTCCCAAGAGGTCGCGGTCCATGGCACGGCTATGCACGGCTTCCTCGCCTTCAAACTTGAGGTACATCAGGCTCTCGGGTTTGCAGTGACAGTGTGGGGTCACGGGGACACCCCTGGGTTTGCATGGCTTGAGCTGCAAGGAGCTACATCATATCACAGAACCAAGTCTAAAGATTCTAAAGCAAGGCAGAAAAAGTCGGGAATTTGAGATTCTTGAGGAGATAATCAATCTGCAGCACCTGATTTCGTGCGGGCGCTCGAGGCCGCCTTGGCTCCTTCGCTCCGCAACGTTGGCGGAGCATGGCGGAGCATTGGCCACAACTGGTATTAACGGCTGCTAAATGTTGCTAACTCAGGCCGGAGATCAGATCCGAGGCTTCTCAACTTTGCAAGGGACCGGGGCGATCACCTTGGGCTAATCATGGCCAACCACTCGTGGAGTGGGATCATGGTGGCCAGACTGCGAGCGTGGTGTGGGTGAGCTGTCGTGAGCTCCCTGCGCCACTGGTGCGGCCGAACATGGCTTCCAGGTTACTGAAGAGCCTGAAGAGCTAACTCCCAGGGCAACACCGACTGGAGCAACCAGAGGCTCTACAATCAACTTTCAGCCGCGTTCTGTGATTGGCTGAACGGGCCTGGCCTATCCAGGCACTGTGAGCCATCTGTCGGGAAGCCGAGAGCATAAACAAGAGCACAACATGGAGGAATGCAAGCAATCAGAGCAGGCAATCGCTTCGCCGGCCTCGGGCTCCGTCATCGTGCCAGACCTCTCACATTTCACGCGCTTGCAAAACGTGGTCCTCGTGTGAGATTCGCCATCCCTCATGTCCACATATTGTTCAAGTCTGCGTGGTGCGCCACACACACCTCGCACGAAAACATAGACATGCAACATGCTTGCGGCCATGCCTTCCGGTGGCTGTCGTGGACTTCCTGATGGCAGCTGACACCGGACATACCGGACATGCACCAGACCTCGAATTGTTAGGCTTAGGGATGTTTAGGGCGTTTAGGCTTAGGGCTCATCTACGCGAGTCTCTGCTCTAATCCCAGAAGACGCAACGACAAAGAGAGCTGCACCAGGATTGCAAGCGCATTGCAAGTGCAGCTGTTTCATGTCTTCGACTTCTCACCCCGAGCGCCTCCTCGCACCTCCGCCGCTTCTCCAAAGCAGCATCTAGCTCGGCAGTCACCGAGCCCAGCTGCGCCTTGCAGAGTCAGCTTCCAACTGCCAACTCAATGGTCGTAAGGCTGGCTCCCCTGCGGCCTGCAGCGAGCTTGTCGCTGACTTGATGCTCTTCTCCTCCTCTTTGAGCCTTTTGGGCGATCAACGATCAACTCACAGCGCACCATGCTGCCTTCCAGGCGACCTTTATACCACTTTGCTCTCTTTACACACGCTTGATGCAAATCTTGGCTGGCCTCACAAGCTTGGCTTGCAGCTTCGCCTTATGTACGGCATTAAGCACGCCTTAAAAATAAACTCCATTGTGTGTTGTAATTAAACCATGTACAGCAGGAACTTGAGTCGCTGCCCAGCGACAGCAGCACTTGTTGCCGCCACCGCACTGTCTCCAAGCAGCCTGTGGCGTTGCACACAGACGCACATGAGTTTCATGACTTTTCCACTTCCGCATACTTCCACCGATCAACACAGCACAACTCAACTAACTGAGCTCCGAGCTTGCGCTTGAGAACACGCAATCGCATCTCGACGTCGGCGCCGTTCTGGCCGACATTTGTTTGTGGTCTCGATGGCGGAGCTGCCTTTGCCGCCTTTCAAGAGAGAGCCACATAATACGACACACCCAAGAGCAACACAGGTGCGGAATCGCCTAGGCACGGTGAGCATACACTTTCGGGAGTATGTCTATCTGTATATACATATGTACACACACGCACACACACGCACACACACACACACACACACACACACACACACACACACACACACACACACACACACACACACACACACACACACTCACAAAAATGTTTCTGATAGGCCATCAATTTGACTGAATATTGGGCAAAAACACTAGGTACATAAACCCAAACAATAAGTACATATAACATAGATGCAAAGACGCAAGCACGCAGGCACGCAAGCGCACAAGCGCGTAAGCACGCAAGCACGCGAGCGAGCAAGCATGCAAGCATGCAAGCACACACCTCAACACGTGACATGGACGTGACATCTCTGGTCCAGTGCAAGCAAGGTCCAACATCAAACTGCCTTTGGAGCCACTTCTGGCTTTGAAGGCCTTCCATCCATAAGAAAAACACATAACATACATAACACATAACTCATGTCACTGTGATGCCATGAACCAGTACTGAATCAGCTGCCTTTCGTTGCTTCCAGCGGCTGTCGAGCTGGAGTCCCCTTCCACCGCTGCTGCTGGCACTGCTGGCTCTGCTGGAGCTGCTGGCACTGGTGTCGAAGCAGGTGCAGGCGCCTTCCCAACCGCAGGCGTCGTCACCTTAAGTTTCGGTGCGTCCGCCTTGGGTACTGGCGCTTGAGCCTTGGGTTCCGGAGGCTCCGCCTTGGGTTTCGGCGCCTCCGCCTTCGGTTTCGGCGGCTCCGCCTTGGGTTTCGGCGGCTCCGCCTTAGGTTTCGGCGGCTCCGCTTTGGGCTTCGGCGCCTCCGCTGCCTCTGCTGCCGCTGCTTTGGGCTTGGGCGCCTCCTGCTTGGGCTTTGGGGTCTCAGCTTTGGGCTTCGGTGCCTCCGCCTGGGGTTTCAGAGGCTCCGTTTTTTTCGCTTTTGGTTTCGCCTTGCGAGTGTGCGCCTTGGGCTTCGCCTGTTTCGCCATCTCCTGGGGCTGGGGCTCTTCCGGCGCCTCGGCCTTCAGCGAACAGCAAGGAGCACTCGTGGAGCACTCACATAGTGCACTCATGGAGCTCATACGTGGCACAAAGTTCCATAGGCCTTGGTCTGATTTACAATACTTTCACTCTGAATACAACCCCTCACACGAGGCCTCCTCTGATGCTTCGCTTTCTGTCGATTCGCTTGGGCTGGTGAACCTCAGGAAATGCTTCCAGCTTTCGAGGTTATGATCAATGCCAAACACAGTTAGCTTGCCTCAAGCGGCATGGAAAAACAACGTGATTTCTGTCCCGGAAAGTGTCTCGATGGTTTGGAAAGACATGCACTTGAGGTTTCCTCTGGAAATCGAGAATAGATTTTGCAGTCCTGCGAGCGTTTCCAGCGACCTGCCAGAGGTGCCTTTTGAGGCGCCAGTTCAGGCGCCGGCTGCTCGGTGGGGCTCTGCACCTCGTCGCCGCTCTCCTCGGCCTCCGCCCGATCGTGTTGAAACGTTCCGAATCTCGAACTCACATATCTCGACCCTTTCTATTGGTGCAAAGTTAAGCGATCCATGTCAAAGTCCATTTGGGATTCTATGGCTGGTGGCCAGGCTTCAAAGGTCTGGTCTGCAGCAGAACAAGACTAGACTAGAATCAGCACGAGCTGGCAGCCATTGGCAGCCATTGGCGCTGTAACAGCCCGGTTGCATCAGGTTTTCGGCGGCAAGGCCACGAATGCGAGAGAAGCAAGATAAGGCAGGCTACGCCCCGCAATATTTCTTAAGCTAAGCTAAGTCAAGGAATGTCAAGGATGTCTGGAGCTCAAAATGGAAAACGCCTGTCCAGGCAAGGACCGCAGCTCTTCCAAAGGCCTTGCCATGCGCACGGCATTGCACGGCGCGCACATCAGCACCTTTTGATGCCTTCCCTTCTGGCCCACTGGCCGGGCGCAATTGGCCCTAGCAATGTAGCCTAGCTTAGCTGACCCTTGCATCCAGGGCCCTTTGAGCCGCCAGCACTGGCAACGGATCTGCAGACTTGGAGCGGCCGCCCAGAGCATCCTGCGAACCATGCAAAGAAAGAAGCAGCCAACGCTGAAAAACTCACCTCGGAACATCTCGGAACCCCCATGACTTCTCTGCCTCGTTCAGCAGTGAAGGCTGAGCATCAGGAACCTCAGAAACAGATTACCGAACGCTGTCGAACACTACGTAATGTCGCAGCCACCTGAAGCTCACTGCTACGGGGCTGTACGGGGTCCAGAAAGAAGCCAACGTTGCCCATCACAGCGTCGACCCTCCAGGTCGACTTGCGAGTCATGGACTGACTCGCATGTTGTGGGATGCTGTACGCATCTGTACGCCAAAAGGTTGGATTTCCATCTCTTGCGACAACAGAAACGTCTGATCGCCAAGACTGTGCTCAGCGAAGATGTGGACGTTCTTCTGAAAGGCTCCGAAGGGGCTCCTTCTCCTTGTCCTTTGGGCCACGGCGAAATGCCCTGGACTCGTAGGTAGACCTCTGGTTCTCTTTGATCCGGTTCTCTTTGATCCGGTCCTTCAGCTCCTTCAGCGCATCAGCCCAAGACAGCCTCGTACAACCTCCAGGTGCCCTGTCTTCTCCTTCCTTCTCCCGCTAACCTCAAGATCCTCCAGGGCTGCGCAACCGATCCAATGCCACAGCTGGAGACGGCCCCTGATCTTCAAGCTCAACCCGAAAGATGGATTCGAGATGCGATGAGGCTCGATCCCACCACTGGTTGTGGAATGTTGTTGAGACAGAAGTAACATCGAACTACATCCTGGAGTAGACATGGACTTCTTGGGGACTGACCTTCTGAGCATTCGAGGCGCTCATCAGCAAGCTGCAGCTCTCCGTCCTTCATGCACTTGTGAATACGGTCGCTCAGAGACTCTGTTCAAAAGCTTGCCGCACACTCAGTGTCTACGAAACACTGCCACAGCTCTGCCACAGCTCTGCCACACCTGCCCAGCAAGTAGGCCGACAAGTCCACAGAATAGGCCGATCGAAGCTTCCTTGCCTTGAGGCCTCATTGCAATGCGACACACAAGCATATACAGCGCCGGCTCCGGCTCCGGCTCCGGCTCCGGCTCCGGCTACGGCTACGTCTACGCACCAGGTGGCTAAATGTGGCCCTGTGAGGACGGCACTCTTCAGCAAGGCAGGGGTCGCATGCCCTGCAGAGCGCATTCAAGCCATCCAAGCTCTCTGGTCCCCTCGCCAACCCGCCTTCGTAACTGTCCGACAGCATGGCCACTGCAAAAAGAGATCCGAGACCTCACAGGCATGCAATGCGCAACATGCGAACGGAAGCAGAGAATGACAACTAAAGATCAAGGAAGAAGAATCCAAACAAACTTATTAAGAGAAACCAGAGGAGATCAATCTTCAACACATGCCCGATGCCGCGCTCCAATCTCTCACAAGGGCGCACAACAAGTCTACCGAAGCGCCGGTGCTGTCTCATTCGCTTCCCACCTCCTTGAATTGCGGCTGCCATGTCATTTTCTGGAATATTTGAAATCAAGGTCAGATGAGTTACAACTTGTGACGTACCCAGATTGCACGGAAGTACTGATGGGTCTTTGCGGAGTGGCGTGACCTCTCAAAAGAAAGAGCGGGCAACTCAAAACGACTCAAAGTGAAAAGTGTCAAGGCGAATGGAGCCAATTCAAATTGCTGCTGGCTCTTACAAGACACCTAGTGACCTCTTACGTTCTTGCGTCGTTTGGGGCCCCAGCTGAGTGGCTCCGAGCTTGTGGACGGCGTAGAGCGCATTGGCGTCACGGTGTCCCTTGGCATGTCCCGAGCCGAACAGGTCTTCCAACTCCCTACAGCAGCTAGTCCTGGCTTTTACTGTAACGCCGTGCACGCTCACCATCTCAGCGTCCTCCAAGGCCCTTGCAAAGGGTATTGAACGCCATCAGCCTTCGAGGCCCAAGTCAGGAAAGGTCTCGAAGACTCTCGCATCACTGTAGGATGCTCAACGCAAGGACTTCTGCTGCAACGGTTGGAGCATGCACCTCGAAGAGCAGCGCGCCATTCAATGCACCCAGGAAGCGCTCCTGGCAGGCTATGCTATCGCTGCGTTGCATGATACCTTGCATTCGAACTGGAGCATGCACACGCACACACACACACTCTTGTTTGTATAGACTGGCACTCTCTTTACAGAGCAACTTTCGTCTGCAGTCCACCAGGTCCACCAACTTGCAAAGAACCCTTCACATGCAATTCCAGCATTTTACAAGTTCCAGCTTTGCAACCACGCGTTTACAATGCCTGGGAAATCAAGATTAGCCCACCTGCAAAAAAGCTCTCAGCCGTCGACTAGCCTTCCCTCCTATTCTCGTTTGGAACAAATTGTTCGGCGACATGCAACAATGCTGCGGACTGGAAGCAGGCCAATACGCGGCAAGCTGTCACGCTGCTATCCCGAGACACATGAGTCAAGAGTCAATGGACGATACCGTTTCGGGCCCATCAAGGGCAAATCCTGGCTAAAGTACTTCCGCAGCAAAGCCACCGCGGCTGTCGGTGCCTCCCATGGCATGCGTGGCCTCACCTAGCGCCTTCTCTTCTGCCGCGTTTCCGCTAGAATGCAACAAACCCCGGTGACTGCTAGAACTCTGAGGCTTTCAGAGTGGGAGCACACGCTACATTGCACTAAACGGCAGATGGGGGTCGCACTGGCTCACTACAGTTGCATCATCAAGGTGCTATCGAGTCACCGGCAGAAGACACAAGACAGCATTTGTGAAATGCCTGCCTTGTATGCCGATTCCAACTCTCTTCTGACTGCCTGCAAAAGCTACCGCTCGCACAATGGTCAAACTCGCTGTACGCACGACATTGCAGGACTGCATAACGCAGCTGAGAAGCATCCGTATGGCTCACAAGAGAAGGGCCCAAAACAAAAACAAAAAAAGTGGACTTGCCTAAGAAGAATGCAGCAGCACATGAATCTATAAAGTCCAGTGTCACGTCTGAGATGTCAGAAACGAGGCTCTGAAAAAAGCCTCTGAGTCTCTTCTCCAAAGCTTCTCTCCAAGTGTCTTTTGCTGAACTTCAGGGTATCATTGCAGTATCAGGCCTTAGGAGATTCAACTTCAAAGAGGGCTTCGGAAGCAGAGCCTTTCTATTCATACTGGGGCTTAAGGCTTCGGGTTTGCATGTGCTTTGGAAAGACTTCGGAGACGTGTCGAAGGAGGTTGGCAGAATTTGGCCCATGATCATCTTTGAACCCCGAAATTCGTCAGCAAAGGCAACCCAAACCCCAAGATCTAAACCCCAAGCCCAAACCTAAAGGGCCAGAACTGTTTCCAAAGAGCCGAAGCCGAGCACACTGCATGCTGCATAAGTGCATAAGGGCCTTCTCATCCCCCTTGCGCGTCTCAGGCTCCGGTTGCTCGGAAGCTCTCAGCGGAGCCATGGGCACCTGACAAGGAAGAGAACTCTTGGAATCGAATTGAGAAATCTCGCGTCCCTTGCGCATCCCACTTTGTGCTCCAACTTGTGCCTCAGACCCAGACCGAGACCTATTCTGTCTTGTTTTCGGGCTGAGTCATGTGAGTCTTGTTAAGTGTGTGGCCTTTTCGTCTGGGCCAGACCGGCCATCGGCTTCGTCATCGACCTTGGCAAGCTTCGCACAAGGCTGCAGACCATGCCACCGCAGCAACAAACGAGATGTCTGAGACAGACAACCTGCGATCCAAACCTCAATGCTCAGGCAGCTACTACTACGATCGATTCCTGTGACCACAGGGGCGCATCTTGTGGTGCTCGGCGGGTTGCTAGTCATGTACGACAGACATGTAGCAGATGCACACAACTGTGCCATGTTTTTGCTCATCCCATCTCACCTCCACCGGACCGTGCAGTCGCCGGGTCCGCGCAAACTTGGCGAAGCGCGTTACCTTTCACCGTGTTTCACCCAAGGCCGAGCCCAAAGCCAAGCACACATCCTAGCCATCAGAAAATGTCAGAAGGCCGTTGCCATGCTTTGCCCGCTGAGGCCGCTGCAGGAGTTGTCTTCATGGTGAAGGACCTCAACAAACCGAAAAAACTAAGGCGCATAAGCGCTGAGCACAAGTAGCACAAGTAGTCCCGCTCTCTCAACCTCCTGACTAGGCCTGTTGGTGCCACAAGCCCTGGAGTGGTTCACCGATGCTCGTCCGACGCGTTGACGCCCCGATCCGGTCACGCAAGCGAAGCGATGATCAGCGTCCACGTTGCCAAGACCGTGTCACGGAGTGCGACCAGCATCACTCAAAGCCGAACCAAGTGCTCACCCAAACACAGCATCTACAGTCGGGCGGCCAAACCTACTAGCTGTATCATGTTCTGTCACGCAGCCTGTTCGGCCGAGGTCTCGGCACTTTGCTGCGAGCAGCATCGCTTCGACCATTTGCAGCCGCACACTGACAAAGCCTGAGTTGAACGGGTGGATACTTCCCAATCTAAACTTGAGCCCCCGACCAGATACCTCCAGATGTTTCCGGGCTAAAGACATTTCCTCAATTCAGAACTGTCATCGGTAGAGCATATACACGCACATGAAAGTCTCAGCCGGGGATTGGTCACAATGCTTTTTTTAGACACACCTGAGGTTCCTCGGCCGCTTCCCTGGGAAAAGCAAGCTTATAGTATCCAATGCCCCACAGGTCTCACGAGCCTTATATGGTCCAGTTCCGGGGCTTGGCGTGCGCAATGCTTCTCGCTGTCTCAAACTCCCCTTGCAAAGAAGTGAAAACACAGGCTTCTGCATGTTGTCAGGTAACGTTCCAACTTACGCTTCTTGGTGGCTGCTAGCTTCTGTGTGCTGTCAGGGGATTTCTGAAAGCCTGGCCCCCGTGTCATGTGTGCCAAGTGGGCTTCTCCGTGCTGTCAGGGGCATTTTGGGCGGAAAGGCTCGTGCTTAAAACTCCAGCTTGCGCTTGTTGGAAGGTCTTGCAAGGGAGCAGAGGTGATCCGAGTCCTTTGTTTTCGGTTTTATCTGCGTCATTTGTTTTAGGATGTTTTAGGATTATCTGCGTCTTTTTTTGGGGTCATCTGTGTCTTTTTCGTCTGGGCTTCCTGCAGGGCATCAATCTTTTGGCTTCCACAGAGGGTTATCTGCGTCTTGTCTTGTTGGATCATCTGCGTCATTTTTGGCTTTCGGGTTCAGGGTTTAGGTTTTGGGCCTTCGGGTTTAGAGCTTGTAGAGTTTAGGGTTGGGGTTAGGGGTTTAGGATCTGGGGCTTTAGGGTTTTAGGGGTTTTGGCTCCGGGTTAGGGTTCAGGGTTTAGGGTTTAGGGTTTGGGATTTGGGGTTTGCGTTTAGGGTTCAGAGCTTAGGGTTGAGGGTGTAGAGTTTAAGGGTTTAAGGATTTAAGGGTTTAAGGGTTTAAGGGTTTAAGGGTTTTGAGGGTTTAAGGGTTTAAGGGTTTAAGGGCTTAGGGTTCAGGGTGTGGGGTTTAAGGTTTTGGGTTTAGGTTTTTTTTCGGGGCTTGGGGTGTAGGGTTTAGCGTTTAGGGTTTCGGGTGTAGGGTTTAGTTAATGGGGTTTGGGGATTGGGGGTTTAGGGTTTAGGGTTTAGGGTATAGGGTATAGGGGTTAGGGTTTTAGGCTTTGGGCTTTAGGGTTGAGGGTTTAAGGTTTAGGGTGTAGGGTTTGGGGCTTAGGGATTAGGCTTTGGGGGTTTAGGGTTTGGGGGTTTAGGCTTTAGGGTATGGGGTTTAGGGTAGTTTTAGGCTTCAGGGTTTAGAGTTTAGGGTGTAAGGTTGGGCTTTAGAGTTTAGGGTTTAGGGTTTGGGGTCTAGGGTTTCGGGTTTAGGGTTTTCGGGCTTTTGGCTCCGGGTTAGGGTTCAGGGTTTAGGGTTCAGGGTTTGGGATTTGGGGCTTTGGGTTTAGGGTTCAGGGCTTAGGGTTGAGGGTGCAGGGTCTAAGGGTTTAAAGGGTTTAGTGTTTAGGGTGTGGGGTTTAGGGTTTTGTGTTTAGGGTTTATTTTGGGGGGTTTAGGGTTTAGGGTTTTGGGTTTTGGGTTTAGGGTTTAGGGTTTAGGGTGTAGGGTTGGTTTAGGGTTTAGGGTGTCGGTTAGGGCTTCTCCCCTCCCAGTCGCTTCACGAGAACACAAAGACACGGACTACGCTTCCAGATAATGCCAAAAGAAAAGACACAGATGACGCGAACAAGCACAATCAAGCAAGCTTTTCCTCGAGACGTCCGAACAAAGCAGACAAAAAAGACACAGATTACATGAAAAAAACACAAATAACGCAAAAAAACAAAAAAAAAAAAAAAAAAAAGACACAGATCACCCTCTTTCCCTTGCAAGCGGGGGCAGCTGAGGCCGTCCCCAACACCCCGCCTTCCCCGTAAGAAGCGTGCCCGAATTCATCCATTTTTGGGCAGCCCACCCCCCAAACCCTTCCCCGCAAACTTTTTGGCAGAACAAGTTCGGGGTATTGAAACGAAAGGCTCTGTGACACCCGAATCGAAGCCCACCAACAAGCCAAAACGCCCAACAAAAAGCGTGACCCGCTCTGTGGTGGGCTCTGAGGCAGCAGCCGTCGCAAAAAGTCTGGATAGGTTAATTGGGACCTTGGAAATCTTGGGAACACGTGGAGCCCAAGCTCAAGTCATCACAATAGACCCGCCTTCCAGACCGACAACATCCGACAACGCTGGGGCCCAGGCGCTTCGCAAGCACCCCCCGGCGCCTCGCAATGCAGCAGTGAATCAGAGAGGTTGTCGAGTGCAACCACTTTCATTGATGCAAACACACATGTTCAGATTTGGGGCTCACCTCGATCAGCTGCTTCAGGAGCTGCAGCCTGCAAAAAAAACTTGCACAGATCTGAACCGCGTGATTCCCAAAAATGGCTAGGAAACACGAACCCCCGAACAAAGTCATGAACCAAGCAGCCAAAAGGAGAGGCCACAAGGGAGCCGGAGCTTACGGATCAGTGAAGATGACAAAGAACCGCAAAAGCGAGCAGTGAAACGCCAACAAACTCGGGGGACTCTCATGAGCTCAGATGAGACTTGCACAAGGACTTCGCTGGCCTCGGTGGCAGCTCAGGGACGACGTACGCCTGAGTTAAAAGAAAGCGAGGGAAAGCCGCAAGAAGCAGCGACGCAGCGCCGCAGCGACGCAGCGACGCACAGGAGCATCTGCCTTCTTCGGCAGCTCTTCCACCTCCACGGGTAGTGCCATGGCATCCTCGGGTCACTTCGGGCCACTGCAATCGTTTAAATGCCCTTCGGCTGCCCTTCGGAGCCCTTCGGCTGCCCTTCGGCTGCCCTTCGGCTGTCTACCGATTTCCCGTGACTCCCGGTGCCTCATCCAGGCAAGCATCCTCCACCTCTGCCTGCAGATGGCGGCAGTCGGACAGGCACACGTTGCCACGCAGCCTGGCCTCCTCCTCCGTGTCTTCCAAAAGCTCTCCTTCGCCCTCGGTGCGTGCAGCGTGCAGCCAAACGTGCAGCCAAACGTGCAGCCAAACGTGCAGGCCCGTGGTGATTACGGAAAGAACATGTGGAGAAGATCTGGAGAACTCTGATGAACTCCTGGAGAAGCGGGGGGTTACTTCGACTGTTTTTACCCTTCTCTCTGATACGTTTAATAAAGACCCCTTCACTCGCCGCCGCCCAGGGGAAAGGGGAAAAGGGGGGGGGGGGCCTCGGAAGCCGAGCTCTTCGACTCCTTCGACTCGGGCTCGGTGTCTGCGTCTGACACAAAGAAACACGTTGAGATTCACACATACCAATGTGGTGTTCCCACAGTTCACATAATTCACTGTCACTTGCACGTGGGCGCAAAGGATCTCGTGAGCTTCTTGAAGCGACTTATTTCAAACTCCGAATATGACGCTTCCACATGGCTCATACATCCCTCGCAGACCCCACCTGCATCGTCCTCCAGCTCCTCCTCCTCCTCCTCTTCTTGCCGTGAAGCATTCTGGCATGAAAAGTCATGGTGCCCACTTGTCGGGTGTGCACGATGCAAGAAAAGGCTTTCTCGTTGCCTGCCTAGCATGAATACAGGAAAACTGGGAATCTGCCAAAATCCACCCCTCTGCTTGTCCCACCAACACTTAAACAGCCAGGAGGGCTAGCTCCACAACGCAGCTCGGTGCGAGAGGAGCCTTGCGTACGGCCGCATATTGATCATAATTTCTCTTAGACTCTCTAGCCAGCACAATGCTGACCCATCTCACAGCGCCTCTGCCGCCTGTCCTGCACGCAGCGCATGAAGCAACAAAACACAAACAAGGATCTGAAATGTGGGGGTGTCGCTTGTAGGGTGCCCAACACTGTGAAATCTGCTTGGGGAAGCAAGCCTGCTGCCGCCTCCTCTCGAACGGCCTCAGATGCCACGCGGAAAACTGTATCTTGCGCCGTTCCTTGTGTGCCCCACGCATTCTGCCCTTCAATGAATCGAAGCCTTGCCAACTGTTTAACGAGTCTAAACAGATGTGCCTTGGCATCCCCCTCGCTTGCAGGGGTCTCAGCCACCAACTCCAGCCTCTGTTGACACAAGTGCAAGCATGACCAGAGCACACACGCAGGGCACAGGTGCTAAAAGAAAGAGAACAGAACAGCAAAACAGTCGAAGTTCTCAACTAATGGAACAGAGCCCGAGCATGACAGGCGAGGAGGAGCGAGAAACATGACATCCCGCGCGACATTCCCGCTGGGCTTCCGGCACCGCCCCGTTCTTGCCTCATAAAAATCCAACGCCACGGAGACGAATGTTCTTGACCGTTCGGGCCTTCGTCGTCACAAGGCTCCACCTTTCGGTGTGGTGCAAAAAAGGCGAAGAGCCTGGGGCAATCACGACAACTTGTTTTAGGACTATTCTGCACCATCAGCGCTCCGGCGATTGCGCTAGATCGGCAGCATCCCGACAACCCTTCCGAGTGTCTCGGCAAGCCTCCCTAAAAGAAAGCTCCCCAACACCCTTAACAGATCACGTGAAAGGCCTCCCACAAGCATCAAAGGAGTGCTAGAGCGAAATCCCTTCGAATGATGCCTAAAGATTTCGGAACACCATGAACATGGAGCATGTAAATCCTCTTCGTTCTGTGCTTAGGTTGGGGCTGCTGTTGCAAGTTGATGTCAGACTCAAGAACGGCTTCCTGGACAAACTTTCGAGCTCTAACGCACCCACTGGCGAAGCAAGGGAGCACACAGATACTCCGCGCGAACACTCCGCGGCACACCTCATCGCCGTTGTTGGCGGCTTTCTCCGTCATCACATGGCGCGATGCGCAAAGAAGACGTTCAAGCCTGTATTAACCTGGGGTTGTAGGAGGCCTCTCCAGACACCAACGAGGCGATGTGCCAGAACATGCCAGAACGAAACGCAGAAGGAAAGAAGCAAAAAACATCTTCCGCTCTGCTCCAGGCAACGCAACTCAAAACCCTGAAGTGGCAGGTGACAACATGCACTGTAGGCATGTAGGACTGGGTGTTGCAGGCTGTCAGCTCCGTCTGCGTGCTTAGGCCATTGCTCCCAGCACTCTGAATCACATTCGGAGACGTGGTTCATCTTGACAACTAGCGCTCTCATGGCAGCGTTGAGTCCTTTATTCAACTTTGAAAACATCTTGAACAGCTGCGTCTTTTAGGCGCTGAATTCCTGGACTCTTCGATGGCAGAGGTAAGACTGGCAGTATTGCAATTGTGGTGTTGATCATGGCCAACCAATGCCAGCTTTGTGGAAGACTGAGATGTGCCATCATTGGTCCTTAACTCCACAGTCTTGTGAAGCCGGTGACACGCTTTGAGCTCTGGTGAAACAGCTTGCTTGCCTTGCTTGCAATGCCTGCCATGTTAAAGCCGATTCCGTACCGAACCTCAGATCATCACCTGAACGTTCAACTTCTGCATGGCTACTGAGCCTACTGGTGACACTGCGAAGAACGGCGGACCCTGCCATCTCTGGGCTGAGCCCACACGACCTGCCAGTCTTGCCAGAAGCGTGCAAGCCAGGAAGCTGGAATAGCTGGAATGCAGGCGGCCTGCACATCATGCCGCCATGGCAGCCAGCCGCGCAATGCGCTCCTTCTCCTCCCGAGGGGAAAAACCCATAAAAAGGAGAGATTCTACCAGTATGAAATTGAGAAAACATCATGCGACTCCATGACATTCTAAAGCTTGTGGATGGGTTCGGTGCGGACCTTGCGGAGGATGTTGTGATCGCGGAGGCGCTGGAGGCGCTCCAGGTCCTGGAAATGCATATGCATATGCATGTACATGTACATGTACATGTGTGTATATTTTTTATGAATACATACAAATGTATACATATATATATATAATTTATATATGTATGTCACCAATTGGTTGGCGCATCTCTCTCACTCTCTCCTGCTTCTTCTTCTCGGCAGCTGCCTGGATCTCGGCCTTTCCAACGGGGGTGAGAGGTGATGTCGCCTTCGACCCTTGAGAGTTATGAAGGTCTTTTTCAAACGCAATTCACGAGCCTGCCTGTGGCAGGACCCACGACATTGTAATGATAACAGACGAACGGGTGGTTCATTGGCTGGCCTCCCGCTCCTTCTGGATCAGCCTTCGCTCGGACGCCTTCGGACAATCTACATGGTTGCGGACGACTGGATCCGAATCCCATGGAGGCTCGCCGCACCTTCTGCTCCTCTTCGAACTTCTTTTTTCGGTACGCTTCCCTCACTTCCTCAAGCAGGCTGGGGCAGGAAAAAAGAGACACTAATATCGCCTGAGCCTGTCATCTCTGCAAGATACTCACCAGTGTATATCTCCTGTTCTTATTCTGGCAGGCTGTATGTGGTGTTTTTCTTTCTGAGGACTTGAGCAGCAAGCCCCCAGCCCACACTACGCCCGTGTGTACGCGTCCACGAGGAGGACGTCTTGTACATGTGCGTCCTAATTCACCTTTGACCAAGGAAAAAGGCAAGTGCCTGCAGCGTGATTTATAGCGCATTGTGGAATTTGGCACCCGGAAGGCATACCAGTTTCATAGGTTTTGGGGGAGCATGATTCCGTTCTGGTACTACGAATGACCTCGCTAGGTTACTGCATGGTTGTTCTTGTACGCATTCGGCCAGCAGTATAGGAACTCTGCTGTTGCTTGGGAGATTCGGGCCACTTTCCAGAATCTCGACGGCAACGTACTCCGAAGACGGGGCAAGAGCGTCGGCCAGAGTGACGACAGCCCAAACGAAGATGTCTTGGAAGACTTCGCGGAAGCCTACGACTGGCTACTGCAGGGCTACTTCCCGCGCTTGTGGCAGGATACACCTATGGGCCGAGGTCGCTTGGCTGGGCGTTTTGCACCTGGTTGGGGGTGTCCGCCTGGCGAGGCAGTGGAGCGCGCCGCTACAGTGCGAAGAGGACCCCCAGCTCTGGATGGACATCATCTACAACGAGTCATGCTCCGATGGGGCGACAAGGAGAGACGGCGCGTAGGACACATACTGGCTCGACAGCTCGCAAGACTTGGACACAATCCTTGTCCACCTAAGTCATCTGCAGAACAGCAACTGGATGTCGGCTGACACCAACGGCATGTGCTTCTTGGTAGCCCAGTGGCACCCTTTTCCCTGTTTTTGGTTCAAGGTTCCCTTATATAAAGTACCCTAAACCCTAAACCCGAATTAAACCCTAAACCCTACTCCCCCAAAAAGCCGCAAGCAAGCCCCCGGAACCAACCAGCGCGTCTATCCGATTGGTGCGAAGTTTCAGGCTTCCACCTGGCGCAACTTATGGCTCAGGTGTCAACAAGCGGAATGTAAACGGAAGTGAGGGCAAGGCCTATCCACGTTCTTTCCTCCCTCCCTCCCTTCCAGATGGCCCGTAAGTGGGCCACCCTGGAGGGCGCTAGGTACGAGAGTCAGTAGGCGCATGTGTGTGTGTGTGTGTGTGCGTGCGTGCGTGCGTGCGTGCGTGCGTGTGTGTGTGTGTGTGTGCGTGTGTGCGTGTGTGCGTGTGTTCGTGTGTGTGCGTGTGTGCGTGTGTGCGTGTGTGCGTGTGTGCGTGCGGTGTGTGCGTGTGTGCGTGTGGCGTGTGTGCGTGCGTGCGTGCGTGCGTGCGTGTGTGCGTGCGTTGCGCGTGCGTGCGCGTGTGCGTGCTGTGCGTGCGTGCGCGCGAGTGCGCGCGCGTTTCGTGCGCGCCTTGCGCGTGCGTCGCGTGCGTGCGCGCGCGCTGCGTGCGTGCGCGTGCGCGTGGCGTGCGCGTGCGTGCGTGGCGTGCGTGCGTGCGTGGCTGCGTGCGTGCGCGTGGCGTGCGTGCGTGCGGGCGTGCGTGCGTGGGCGTGCGTGGGCGGCGTGCGTGCGTGGGCGTGCGTGGCGGGTGCGTGCGTGCGTGTGCGTGCGTGCGTGTGCGTGCTGTCGCGTGCGTGCGTGTGCGTGCGTGTGCGTGCTGCGTGTGCGTGCGTGTGCGTGCCTGCGCGCGTGCGTGCGTGTTGCGTGCGTGCGTGTGCGCGCGTGCCGGTGCGTGCGTGCGTGCGTGTGCGTGCGTGCGCGCGTGTGCGTGCGCGCGCGTGCGTGCGCGTGCGTGCGTGCGCGTGCGTGCGTGCGTGTGTGCGTGTGTGCGTGTGTGCGCGTGTGCGCGTATGCGCGTGTGCGCGTGTGCGCGTGTGCGCGTGTGCGCGTGTGCGCGTGTGCGCGTGTGTCTCTGTGTCTCTGTGTCTCTGTGTCTCTGTGTCTCTGCGTCTCTGCGTCTCTGCGTCTCTGCGTCTCTGCGTGTCTCTGCGTGTCTCTGCGTGTCTCTGCGTGTCTCTGCGCGTGTCTGCGCGTCTCTGCGCGTCTCTCGCGCGTCTCTCGCGCGTCTCTCGCGCGTCTCTGCGCGTCTCTGCGCGTCTCTGCGCGTCTCTGCGCGTCTCTGCGCGTCTCTGCGCGTCTCTGCGCGTCTCTGCGTGTCTCTGCGTGTCTCTGCGTGTCTCTGCGTCTCTCTGCGTCTCTCTGCGTCTCTCTGCGTCTCTCTGCGTCTCTCTGCGTCTCTCTGCGTCTCTCTGCGTCTCTCTGCGTCTCTCTGCGTCTCTGCGTCTCTGCGTCTCTGCGTCTCTGCGCGTCTGCGCGTCTGCGCTTCTGCACGTCTGCGCTTCTGCGCGTCTGCGTGTCTGCGTGTCTGCGGCATGTCTGCGTGTCTGCGGCGTGTCTGCGTGTCTGCGTGTATGCATGTCTGCATGTGTGGGTGGGTGTGTGGGTGGGTGTGTGTGTGTGTGTGTGTGTGTGTGTGTGCGCGCGGGGGTGTGTGTGTGTGTGTGTGTGTGTGTGTGTGTGTGTGTGTGTGTGTGTGTGTGTGTGTGTTGTGTGTGTGTCTGCGGTGTGTCTGTCTGCGCGTGTGTGTGTCTGCGCGTGTGTCTGTCTGCGCGTGTGTCTGTCTGCGCGTGTGTCTGTCTGCGCGTGTGTCTGTCTGCGCGTGTGTCTGTCTGCGCGTGTGTCTGTCTGCGCGTGTGTCTGTCTGCGCGTGTGTCTGTCTGCGCGTGTGATTGTCTGCGCGTGTGTCTGTCTGCGCGTGTGTCTGTCTGCGCGTGTGTCTGTCTGCGCGTGTGTCTGTCTGCGCGTGTGTCTGTCTGCGCGTGTGTGTGTCTGTCTGCGCGTGTGTGTGTCTGCGCGTGTGTGTGTGTGTGTGTGTGTGTGTGTGTGTGTGTGTGTGTGTGTGTGTGTGTGTGTGTGTGTGTGTGTGTGTGTGTGTGT